TTTCTCCAAATGATTCCCTATTGGGTTATTTATTTTTTTAGTTTTTTAGCTGGGGGCCAACACTTGGGGCTTTTTGTTTCATCATTATGTAAAAGGGCTTTTGCCCAACTTCTCTCAAGTTTCAGGGAATGCTTCGTCTTTTTTGAATGTTGTAAGTTGGCAATGAGGAGGACCTTTTCCTTTTGGCTTTTGCTGCTTAAGGTTAAAGATGCTAACAGCGGGGGGCGCCTGGGTGGCTCAGTCGTTAAGCGTCTGCCTTCAGCTCAGGTCATGATCCCAGGGTCCTGGGATCGAGCCCCACATCGGGCTCCCGGCTCCACAGGAAACCTCCTTCTCCCTCTCCCACTCCCCCTGCTTGTGTTCCCTCTCTCGCTATGTCTCTGTCAAATAAATAAAATCTTAAAAAAAAAAAAAAAGATGCTAACAGCCGTGCGTGTGTGTGCACGTGCATGCGTGTGAGTGATTTGCTACCGCGCTTTGCAACCGGATCATCTTGGTTACTCTTCTAAACTTCTTCAGCCATATTTACCATGGAGATATTTTAAGGAATTCGTTTCAAAGGAAAAATGCCAATAACAACATACTCCTCTATTTTTAAGAGACTTTTCAGGTTCTTCCCTGAGAATTTATGTTCTAGGACTTTGCAGATACGAAGGTAAAGACAGGTGCCTGTATATTATCATGTACATCTCTAGAGATCAACAGAAACAGCTTGTGTTATATGTATTGTTTTTCAGCTTGCTTCCCCCCTCTGACCGTCTTGTGGATGTTCTTCTTACAGACTGTGGTCTAGCACGGATACAGCATATCAGGTTTACCTGTCTCTCTCGGTCCATATTTAACTTCTTATTGTTTTGAGCGTGACAAGTAGGTATATAGGGGGAAAAAACCCTATGTGTTTCTCTATCCATTTATATATTCCTAAGCATGGATTCCTGGAAATGGAATCCAAAGGTAAGCGCTATAAATAGTGCCGGGTACTGCCAAGTGGCCTCCAGAGGGTGCACCAATTTATACTCTCACCAGTAGGATGAGAGTCCCAGCTTCCTCACATCCACACAAGCTCTCAGAGTTACCCATCTTTTTAGCTTTGGCCTCTCAGATTATTTTTAAAAATGGCATATCCACTTGAATTTGTTAACTACCAGTGAGGCTGTGCACTCTCCTTCTGTGTATTAGCCATCTTTATGTTCTCTGACCTGCTTGGTCATTTTCTTTATCCATTCTTCTTTGCACTTTTCTTCCTGATTTTTAAGGCGTTCTTTGCAGCGAGGGATGCAGAGGATTGCTCTAAAAGATTGAGGAAGAACATCATTTTGATTGGCATTCCTGCCTCTCAAGTCCGCAAAAGATCAGTAGTCTGTCTTCTTCTTGGCACTGGTGAAAGGCATTGGTTTTCTGTTTGTTTTTATTTAATTAGGTGAAGTTTTTCCTCCTGGCTGGAAAGTCCCTGCCATCTGTAAATGCATTATCATTTGTGCAGCACGGGGTGAAGCGTGGTGTGCTGAGGAAAGTGAGTGGTGCCAGGCAGGGGTTGGCGCCTTTCGGAGCTGATTATCGCCAACGTTCAGTGAGAAGCTGGATCCCTTGCTTCATTTCTCTTGAAAAATCCTGGTTTCTCATGTCTTCAGCATAAAGGCGCGTGATCGACAAAAGAAGGGACGGGGAGAGTCTCTCAAGCCGTGTTGGCAGTTCTGCTTCATTATGTTTCTTTATTCTGCTGGAATTTCCTAGATCAGGGCTATTACTTCAACTCTTGGCAGGTTCACGTTGGAGCCAGGATTCTTCTCTTCACGCCCAGAGACTGGGGACAGTTGCCACCTTCCATACTGGTAAACAAACTGGACTTTCGGTGCCGAGGATGTCAGGGCTGCCAGGAACGGGAGTTGCCAGGCTCCCAGGTGTCCGGGCTCCCATGGCCATTGACAACGGAGGCAGAGCCTGGACCACACCCCTGTAGGCCCCTTCATTCCACCAGGCGCCCCTCACTGCCTCCACTAGCAGAAGGCTTGCTGCTTTGCCTGTTCTGGAGCAGAGTCCCAGCCCAAAATGCTACGGTCTTTGGTCCAGCTGTCGTTACTCCCTGGATATGGAAAGAAACAAACCAAAGGCCAAGTGTAGGGTGCTGATGGTTTGGGATTTACCCTGGGGAGAGGGGGAATCAGCCTCTGTGTGGATGGACGCCTGAAGGCTTGACTGAGGCCGCCTCCAGCCCAGTATGGAGCAGAAACAGGGGGCTGACTCTTACAGGTGTTTTCAGCTGCTAGATGCACCTGAACCTGGTTCTGTTCCCCCACCCCACGAACGTGTCCACTCGTGATTTCTTATGAGCTGGCTCTGAGAGAATGTGTCAGCCCAGAAGGTTGGATCTGTTTCATGGGCAGCTGGGCCAGATCTTGCTGACAGTCCATATCATACACAAAGTTCTCTTGCCCAAGAGTTCTGGAGGCAGGCTCTTACCTGCTCAGGTTATGGTCAGGTTCTGGTTGAAAGTGTTGGGCTACCTTTGAATATTTTATATTCATGAAGAATGATTGGCTGAAGGTAAAGCCAAGCCAGGTGTGAAGATTGCTTTGTAGAAAATCCCAGGGTCCATGGACCTCTCAGGAAAGAGAATAATAATAGGAATAAAAAATATTTTTGGTTCCTCTTCCCACTCTCATTTTTTAAATAAATGACTTTAGATCAAATTATTATCTGAGCATGAAGAAATATGTTTTTGTTCCATAAATCTTAAGCTGCATACAAATATGGACTGTCCACAGGGTTGAGGAATAATCCTGACTTGCAGGAATAATCCATAAAATGTTTGGTGAAAATGATTTTCATAATATTTTAGCACAAAAAACACCATCTGCATTTCCAATCCACCCACACTATTTAAAATTCCCTCATTCTCTTCTTCCCTCCCTTCCTCCATCTATCCATCCCAACAAACATTCTGTCTTTGGTTCTGGGCTACATTAGGACACACTCCCTCCACTGGTGTAGAAGTTGCTCACGGTGGGGAAGACAGGCACACAGACAACAGAGCACTGTGCTAAGCGAAGAGAGAGGTTTGCGGAGGTTATGTTGGGAGGTCTGATGGGAGCTTGTGAAGTCACCCGGGCGGGCTAGGGCAGAACTGTAGGATAGACTGGCCAGGACACACAGGCCTCCTGTGTTGACCCTAGGACTTTGGGCCTTACCCTTAATGGGATGGGAGCCAAGAGAAGATTGGAAACAGTGAGTGACATGGTCAGATTTGCTCTACTGTTGGTGAAAGTTACCTTTTAGGAGTCGAGACCGGAGCCAGGAAAGCCAGCGAGGAAGCCATTAATGCAAAACAGGCAAGAGAGTAGGATTCGAACTGGGAGGTTGGGAGTGGTAGAGATGGTGAGGAGGGATGGGGTGGGAAATAGTTAGCACTGGTTGATTGATGTTGGGGGGGTAGTGAGGGAGAAGGGTGGCTGGTGGTTCTTCCAACAGAAATGCCAGTGATGGCAGGAAGAGCAGGTTGAGAAGAAAAATCAAGAGTTCCTTTTTGGACATGCTGAGCTTGTGCTGGGGCTGGAAGGATCTTGAGCAGTAGGGGACGGAAGTGTGCAGCTGTGGGAGGGGGACGGAGTTACAGGGGAGAGTGCTGAGCTGGAGGCTGAACCTAATGGCCGATGATACAGCTTTATCCAGGGAACAAGTGTCTTATCTCTCAAGCAGATGGGAAGCAGAGCTCCGAAGACCATTGAGGGATGCGTGGAGGGAGGGGAGTCTCCCGGTGACTGAGGGAAAATGGTCAGAGAGCCAGGTGTGTGGGGAAGGCCGAGGGAATGATTTTCAGGAGGAGTGAGTGATTCGGCCGGTCCACTGCAGTGGAGTGGTGAATAAGGTAAAGATTGAGCAGTAGCCTGTGGATTGAGCAATTAGGAGGCCGCTGGTGACTTTGTGAGGACAGATTCAAGGAAGTGAAGGGGGGTGTCCGGGGATTGAAGATGGTGCAGACTGGAGAGTTTGCACCTTTTGAAAGGTTAGTCATGGTCTTGGGTTCATCAGGCCTCGGACTTCTTCCCAGTGTCTCGGTGCTGAACTGCCTCTGTTCGAGGAGCGCTATAGAAGCCTCAGCCGGAGCCTCCCTGTGGGGCACACTCGATTTATTGAAAATCATTTATCAACGAGCAGCTTCCTTCTGCTCTCTCCTCTTGCCTGGTGGAATTCTGTTGTGTACAGTTCGAGGTGGGTCCCTTTACACTTGAGATCACCCTTCCTCTAATTATTAATCCTGTAACTACACTAGAAGGGTATGTCTTGTGTCAAATGGCTTATTATGTGCCTACATTACCTCTAGCCTTTATGTAATGGTAATTATTTAATAATGAATAATAATAACTCTAACAAGTGAACTCTGGCTCATCTTATGTCCTCTGTCTGCATGCTGTCTTATAAAATGTGTGCAAATCCCAGAAGCTTCCACTAACTTTTAAGTTATTTTAGGTTTTCTGGTGTGAGGGGAACACACCAAGACCCCTGATGTTTTCAGCTCTGCCCCTGTGTGACTCTGATATCAGATGGCCAGAACAGCCCTTGGGTTGCCCAGAGAGCTTGGCAAGGTTGCATTTGGTCCATCTCCATTTTATAGATGAGGAGACTGAGGCCCAGAGGGTAAAGCCATTCCCTGAGCTGCGGAGGGGTGGAATCAGAATTCAGTTTGTGGGCTCCTGGGCTGACCTGAGCGAGGCAAGCTCTGTAATCCCTCTTTCATCTTTAATTCGATTTCTCTTCTGGACTGTCGTCATAAGCTACCCTCCGCAATCTGGAAAGCCCAAACAGGTTCGTCTTCACGGTGTCAGCCCTTTGATTTACCAAATCCGACAAGTCTCTCGAGAAGGTAAATTGCTCACTGTGAAAGCCGTGCTCATTCGGACGTGCATACTGAGGCGGGGATGCCAGCAGTAAATACTGCTTAACTCTGGCACTTGCTAGATGTACAAACATCATTTGCTCAAGAAGTCAGCTAATTCCTCGTGATGGAGGGCCTGTCTTCGCGCCCTGAGCAGAAGGAGTGTGCCCGCGTGAGCAGATTGTAGAAGCTGGCTGGACCGGTTTAATGGGTTAAACTACTTAAGAAAATTTAAGAAGACGCCACCAGTTAGTATATATTCCGCCCTTGCTTGGTGGTAACAGGCTGGCGTTTGTGATTTCCCTGGCAGAGTTCCTCCCTTGATCGGAAGTGAGAAACCAAACCACCGTTCATTTGCTGAGGCGTGATAGAAGATTGTGGATAATTGGAGTGAACCCGAGAGGCCCTTGAGTCCCTAGGGAACGGGAGGCAGGTCTGATTCCGGGCGCCCTGGAGGTTACTTCCTCCAGTTGCAAAGGTGGATGGGACCGGCGGTGTCCGAGCAGAGGCAAGAGCAGTGTCATCCAGGGTCTGGGAACCTGCCTTTTGACAGACTGGTTGATCTCTGGGTCTGAAGTCCCTCTGTACTGAAAAAGGAGGAACTGCCTTGAGTACCTGCCTCGCAGGGATGTTTTCGGTTCTGTAGGGGAGGAGCTCTATGTAATCCCAGGTATTATTTTTAAATGCTGAAGAATGTATCTAGGACAGGCAGATGGCCAGTGTTTGCCTGCCATGGGGACTGGGTCTGTGTCCACAGAAGCAGGAATAGCAAGTTGAGAATTAAAAAGGAACTTGGACGTCATCTGTTCCTGCCTGATTTTACACATGGGAAAACTGAGGCCTGGGGATGCGGAGCAACTTCTCCAGATCCTGATGGTGAAGCCCATGTACCTTTCTCTTTTGACCTGCGCCATAACCACGTTGTCCCGAAGGGTGGAGTCACGTTTATAGTTTGGCTGCTCTTAAAGATCCCTAGGGATGATCCAAGAAGTGCTACTTATTTCTTAGGAATTAGCAAACTGAGACTGGTGTGTGTTAGAAGAGACACAGTCAAGGTCACGTTGTGAGCTCCTCAGCTATGTTCTTAGAACCCAGGGTCTGTCCCCCCAAGTCTCCTTTTTTTGTGCCTAGGTGACATGGGCTCTTAGGCAGCCAGCCCCGCTTGCCCAGGCTGTGCCCTTTCCAGGGAGGCAGGTCGAGAAAAGGGCCCTGGCCTCTGAGTACCAGTGTCAGTACCAGCTCTATGAGGAGAGTCAGGGAGAATGCATGGAGGCAAGGAAGGAGTAACCAATACCAGTCTGGTTTATTGAACCCCAAGTATCCGCCAACTACTCTATTATATTTACTTTATCCCTTTATCTATTATATGTATAGATATTCTCTCTCTCTATCCCTCAGCAACCCTGCCCAGGAGGTGGGGTTGCCCCAGTTTTGCAAGCGGGGAACTTTAGCTCAGAGAGAGTAGCTCACTTGTCTGAAGTCACACAGCTACAGAGAGGCAGGCATTTGGCAGTTGTGGCTGGGCGGGCCAGATCAGAGCCGGGCCCCTCTTTGCTTGGCCTCCTGCAGCCCCTCATGGAGGGGTGAGGGGGCAGATGGCACGGGCTATTCTGAGAAAGACAGCCTTACCCACCCCGATGTCTCAGGGAGTTAGTATTTAAAAAATATCTGACCTTCTGGCTGGGCCTTGCTATTTTTATTTTCGGAATGTCATGGCTTAACGAGTTGGGTGGGTAAATCTATCTTATGAGACGTGTGTATTTTTTTTCCTCCACAATTTGCTGCTACTATTCTGCGACTGTTGCTGCCTTCAGCAAATGAAAAGAGCTCATAATAGACCGAATTTCCCAGATGGATGTCCTTGCATTGGCTCTTTTTTCCCCACTGTGAACACTTGCCCCCTTTTATCTCTCATCCTTTTATAGTTGACGGGGCTTTCGAAGCTAGGATATCAGTGGTAAATTGTTCCATATGTCTTTCAGAGATTTTCCTCAAATATTAGCATATTTTTTGTTCTTAGTAATAAATTTTATTAATGAAACATTTTTTTGAAGGACGGGGAAAAGTACCAAGAATAACACAAAGCCTGTGCCTTCCACCCGGCTCCATTGAATTTTAATACTCTGTCATGCTTGCTTCAGATTGTTTTAAGGAAAGAAATCTTATATTTGAAGTTCATTGTGTCCCCTCTGATCCCATTCGCCAGAGGGTAACCAGTCCCCTGAATTTGCTATTTTTCTTTCCTGTACATTAAAAAAAAAAAAAACAACACTTTTTTTTTTTTTTTTTGAGAGAGAAAGAGAGCAGGCCCTTGAACTTGTGGGGGAGGGGAAGAGGGAGAATCTCAAGCAGATTCCCCACTGAGCGTGGATCCTGACACAGGGCTCAGTCTCACGACCATGAGATCATGATCTGAGCGAAAATCGAGAGTCGGACGCTCAACCAGTTGTGCCACCCAGGCGCCCCTAAAAGAAATACTTTTGCATCTGTATGTATCCATTAAAGTCTTAGAGTTTTCCAGCTTGATTTTAGTGATACTCTGCAACTGGCTTTTTTTTTTTAAGATTTTATTTATTTATTTGAGAGAGAGAGAGAGCAAGCACAAGAGGGGGTAGGGTCAGAGGGAGAAGCAGACTCCCCACTGAGCAGGGAGCCCAATGCGGGACTCAATCCCGGGACTCTGGGATCACGACCTGAGCGGAAGGCAGTTGCTTAACCGACTGAGCCACCCAGGTGGCCCTGCAACTTGCTTTTTTTTCACTGAGCATTAGGTTTCTCAGCTTGTGGATTCATGCTACCCCAGTTTGTTACATTGAAGCCCTGGGTCATATTCCATTGTATGAATGTGTCCTGATTTTTTCATCCATTCTCCTTTTGATGAACATTCAGTTTGTCTTGCAATTTTATATCCTAGCGGTACCAACAATGAAGGTTCTCTTGGCTGCTGTCTCTCGTGCATTTCTCCTCAGGCCTGGGGTATGTGCCAGAAGAGGATTGGTGGGGTCAAAGGGTAGGAGCGTCTTCTGCCTCATGAGAAGTTTCCGGGTTGCTCTACTGAGTTATTCCGTCACGTGTGTGAGTTCCCGTTGCTCCCCGTCATCTCACCACTTGAAAATGTCAGACTTCAAATTTTTGCAAGTCTGATGTGTGTGAAAGAGAACTTTCTGGTTCCATTAAGTACTTTTTGATTACAAGTGAGCTCGAGTATATATTAAGTGGTGTTTGAGTTTTCTCATCAGTGAAAGTACCTGTTCATACGCTCTGTCCTGTTTCCTATTGGGTGGCTTGTATTTCCTGATATAGTCTTGGAAAATCCTAGGTAGTGATCTTTGTGGGTCATAAATGCGGCAGATGCAGTCTTTCAGTTAGTGGCTTACCTTTTAAGTTTGTTTGTGGTATCTTTTGTTGACCAGGAATTTTAGACTTTAATGTGGTCATATTTATCAGTCTTTATACGGTCTATGCTGTGTTTGAGTCTTATTTCAGAAATCCTTCCTTACCCTGAGTTCATAAAGATACGATTTTCAGCCTAAATGAAGCTCATTTTGCTTTTCTGCCTGATTCCTTGGTTTGGTTTGGTGTTTTCATTTTCCACATTTACTCTGCCTAGGTGTCTCTGTGCTGAGCGCAAGGTAGGCTGCAGAATGGTCACCAGGGACTGCAGGGATTATGACAGCCATCCCCGGGCAGATAGGGCTGAGCTGAACCTGGGGTCAGAGCAGAATCCTTCTTGACCCTGTGGCTGTTGCTGAGAGGTGCTTAAGTGCAGGGTTGATTGACCCTCTCTTAAGCCTGGCTTATTGGCACGCCTGATAAAATTGGTCATAAAGCTGTCCCCTGTCTCGTCCTTCAGAGTAGCTTCACTGCCTGATTTGCACTTCCTGCTGCTGCTGATTGCAAAGCTAAAAAGACGGAAGGCTTTCTCACCGGGGCCCGACACCCTGGGCCTGACTTGCAGCCAACCCTTGGTGAGGGCACCGGTTGTGCATAAGAGTTCATCTGGTGGTTCTTCACTTCTGTCCCTTTCCTCCTATGTGCTCAGAAGTGTCTGCAGACCCGATCTCATTTACCCATTGTATTTTGGAAATATAAATGGATTCAAGTAGGGTTTAGATAAAGTTGCAGAACATGAGAGGGTCAGAATTGGAAGGGGCCAGATGCATCATGCCTGTTTCAGTCAGCAGGTGTTGACAGAGCCTCTGCTGGGTGCCTGGCACCTGGCTAGCTGCTGACCACACAGGGAGAGCAGGTTAGCTAAGAATGGTTTTAACATTTTTAAACAGTGAAAAAAATTCAACATTTGCAGTAGCTTTTGATGATAGGGAACACTAACTTTGAACCTTAGTCAAGTGCAATGTTACCTGCCCCTCTCCCCCCCTGCAAATTCTATTCTTCTCATTAGTAGCTCTATATTATGGAAAATTGTTCTCAATTATTAGAACATTTTGAATTTCCCCAATAAAAATTTTGTGGAATATTTTTTCCCCTCCTTTTATATAAGTACCTGTATATCTTTAATTTGGCCTCCTGTCTCACACATCCTAAAATATTTGTGGCCTGGCCTGAAAAGTTCACAGACCTCTGTGCTGGGTGCTAGCTGTGTGAATTTGGGCAGGTTACTTCTTCAGTCTCTGTTTCCTTGTCTGCAAAACTGACTGCCTGTTTCATAGGGCTGTTGTAAAGGAATAAGAAGAACTGATGTCAGACTCCTGCCCTGTGTTGAGAGCTGCAGGAGAAGATGTTAGTTAGATCTTCCCTAGGGAAAAGTCAGTAATAACCAGTAATAACCAATTTCTTAAGGGCTCTTAAGGGGAGCCTAAGGAGGGACAGGGAGCAGGGTGTGGTGGGGCTCCGTGCCCACCTCTGAGGGTCAGCACCACGAGGAGCCTTGCCCTCCATCCTTGCCATCTAGCACCCCCCCCGCCCCCGCCGAGCTGTGGACCGTGGACCTTGCAGGGGCTGCATCCTGAAGGCTCTGCAAATCCCCACGACATTAATGCCGTTTGTACATAATTTTCCTCATGAAATGCAATGAAGCATAACTAAAAAATGTAAGTAACAGCTTCAGGCCCTTAATGAGGCTATAAATATGGGACAAAAATAATTTATAAAGCTATTTCCTGGTGAAGAGCTGTCCTTTTCCTAGACCTCTTCATTCTCTCTTTGCTTGCCCCGTCAATACTGGCCACCGGCTTGCTTCGCTAACTCATTTTGGGAAGGAAACAAAGCATTTATCATCTTGCAGGGGTTGCTGTTTTGCATTTCCTGCGAAGAGCAAATAAGAAACGTGTGAAGTACAGATGCTGGGCAGACAGCTAGGCTCACTCACTGCTCAGGTGACTTGCTCCATCCATCAGTTGTTCCTGCAGCAAAATTACACCTGATCTTCCTTCAGTGCCACTGTAAATAGGATGCATTTACGTGTAAATGTGGATTCTGTGTAAATGAGACGTTTTATACCTTCTCACCAGTTTCCCTGGGCTGTATCTTCCTTGAACAGATGGGTAGGCAGAGTTTGGGGCTACTGGCCCGTTCTCCCGGGGCAGAGCTGTGTGCAGAGTTAGGGCGAGAGACCTGGCTGTGCTTAGGTACTGGAAGCCAGAGGCTCACCCTCACCCCGGGCTCCCTTTTGATGACAGCCCGGAGGGGAGCTCAGCAGGATGCTGTTTGTCTGATGAGAGCATAATGGCTCTGGGCTGTGCTTGGGACAGATGTCTCTGGTTCCGGATGCCACCACATGGAGCAGTGTGGAGTCCGGGGGACCTTCGGGGATCTTCCAGGCATGTTTACAAACAAATCACGGCAGACCAGCTCCCTTGGTGCTTTGCATCTTGCCAGAACATGGAATGTCTGTGTGTGTCGAAGAAGGGAGTCAATGGGGGAACAGATACTGGTTTCCAGTGGCCCCGTAGCGTTATGCCTGTTGGCACCGGGCAGTGGGAAGAGGGGTGTTAATTCTCCGGGGAGGTTTTAGGGAGGCTCTATTTGAGAGCTGAAAAACAGCATGCGGAGCTGTCTGTACGTATGTTTGTGTCTTGCGTTGTTGTTCCTTGAGCCTGCAGACCAGATTGCCAGGAGATGGTGGATAAAATTGAAGGCAACTGGACAGAAATCGGAAGGCAGGGCCTGTCAATAGCTTGCAGATGTCAGTTCTGCTCTGCACCATGGCCAGGAGCGTCCCGGGAGGGGGGAATTAGTGGAGGGAGAGAGCAGAGCCTGTGGAGGCCCCCGGCAGGTAGAATAGATTTCCCATTTCTCAGCTGGAAAAGTCGACATCACTAACAGTGCACGTTCCAGAAGGGGAGTTTGGGTGGATGCAGCAGCTGTCTTGAGATTTTGCAGTTGCTTCAGTCTCGGCCCCCTCATCAAATATAAATTTGTGGGTGCCAGAAGTTTTGAAGAAGCTGCTGCAGCAGGATGTTTGCCTTTGCCCGCTGGGGGAGGACTTGGAACTTTTTTTTCGTTCTTGGTGCAGATGGTGGAGTTATTTTAAGTTTAAGTGATGTGCTGCAGTGAAAATGGGCAACTCTCTCATTTTTCAGCTTAATGAAAAAAGAAAAGGGAGAAGGAGAAACCCCAGCTAGCCAACTGCGTGCTAATGCTTGTCTTTTTTGGATTCTAAATGTGTCCCACGACACGGAGATGGGATAAATATTTCAGCCACTAGAAAGTCCTGCTGTCGGGCTGGAAAGATTTCTTACCTGTTTTAAAGCAGAAGGGGTAGTAATTTACCTGCACACATCCAGACACCCCCACGTTCCTTATTTTTAACTATGTATGTCCAGATCCCACTCACTTTCTTGGGGATGAGGCAGGGAGTGGATGGAACTTTGCAAGGAAGAGTGTGAAGGGTGGGAATGAGTCGTAAGCGAACGCTTGGTTATCTTCTTAGAGCACCCACAGACACCTGCTGGGGACCTACTGGGTGCCGGGGGCCAGGGATGTGCTGAATGAAACGGCGCCCCTCTGCCTTCCGGAGGGTGTGGCCTGGTTGGGGGGGTAGTATAGATGCGGCAGTAAGCACAGAAGGGATAAAGGACAACACAGGACACAGAGTGAAAAACCAGGGGGACCCGCATTAGACTGGGTGTCGATGAAGAGGTCTTGGTGGTTTTTTTTGAAAGATTTTATTTATTTATTTGAGAGAGAGAAAGAGATAGAGAGAGAGCACGAGAGGGAGGAGGGTCAGAAGGAGAAGCAGACTCCCCGCCGAGCAGGGAGCCCAATCGAGTCCCAGGGACTCGATCCCGGGACTCCAGGATCATGACCTGAGCCGAAGGCAGTCGCTTAACCAACTGAGCCACCCAGGCGCCTGAGGTCTTGGCTATTAAGTGATGGAAAGCCGAGGGCTGAAGGACGAGCCAGAAGATCAGCCCGATGCATGAGTTTGCTTCGGCTGCCATAGTAAAGTGCCACAGAGTGGCTGGCTCAAACAACAGCAGTGTGTTTCTGCACAGGTCTGAGCTCAAGGTTGGGGTAGGGCTGGTTTCTTCTGGGGCCTCTCTCCTTGGCTTGCAGATGGCTGTCTTCTCCCTCTGTCCTCCTGTGGTCCCTCCGTGCGTGTCTGTGTCTCACCTCTTCTTATAAGGACACCAGTCATGTTGGATCAGGGCCTGTTCGCATGACCTCATTTTACGTTAATCACCTCTTTAAAGACCCTGTCCCCAAATATAGCCACATTCTGAGGTACTAAGGGATAGGACTTCAGCATATTGAATGGGGGTGGGGCGCACAGTTGAACCTGTAACACCAGGTGAAGGGCGGGCGGAGGAATGGGGTCAGCAGGCAGCCGCGCGTGGAGTCCTCGGTGCTGGGCGGACACTCCTCATCAAGGAGGTGAGGTTGCAGAGGTGGACAGGGCGGATCACGACAGGCCGTGGAAACCACGGCTCGAGTCATAGGTTTTATTAATCAGGGCTCTGAGAGGCCATTGGTAGCACTTTAAAATCCCACTGTGCTGTGAGGAAGAAGGAACTGGGGGGCATGGGAAGAGACATGGTTTCCTCAGACTTCCTGAATTTCTCGGCCTCGGCACCATAGACATTTCAGGCCGGATGATTCTTTGTTGTGAGGGGCGGCTTTCTGCATTGTCGATGTGCAGCTTTCCTGGCTTCAACTCACAACCAAAAATGTCTCCAGACACTGCCTGTGTCCTCCGGAGTCGGCGGGGGGGGAGGGGGGGGCGCGGGGGGGGGAGTGGGACGGAATGGTCCCCTGTTGAGAACCACCTGTTTAAAGGGGACAAGAAGACATGGCGGTTTGGAATGGGATGGTGCCACTTTAATAAAGCACATCGGATGGGTTTAAGGAAGATCTTCAAATTCAGAGCCAACAGGATTTAACTTCTCTTTGCCTTGGTTTCTCCTCATGCTTTTGAGTTTGGTGATATGGTCACTTTCCTGGAGCACAAGGCCCCGTGCCCCGTGCATGTGTCGCGGAGTTGCTCAGAAGCGCACAGAATGTTCTCTGGTCCTGCCCCTAAACCTCCGCAAGCCCGTGCCTGGCAGGACCACCTGTGTGTCACAGGCAGATATTTAGTGTCTGCTCTACGCCCTCTCATTTGTCAAGTCCATGTCCTGCCAGCCCATGGACTCTCAGGAGCAAGCACTTTGGAAACTAATCTGACCGATTTTCTGGCTCTGGAAATCTGTTTATTAGAGCAAGATTTCACAGTTGCAGTGACTTTTCCAGGGGGCTTGCCTTCGAGGAGCCAGCTCTACAAAGGCAAGTGTAAGTGATTTCCAAACCAAACAGAATGACAGTTACGTTCTAGAGCCCTGAAGACTTCCCAGGGAGCTTGCTGGTGAAGCCCAGAGCAGTTGTGAGTCAACGGGTGGAATGGGTGGGCGTTCTGGGTTGTGCATTCCGTGTCTGGCTGGGATCCAGCACCTGGCCATCCCTCCAGGCTTCTCTCCTACAATTCCCCTTCTCCTGTGATTGCTCTTCCCTGAAGGTGGTGAATTGGTTTCATGTTTTTCTCAAGGTTGGCGGTGGTGTTTTGGAGTCCAGTCTTGAGAGGGAGTCCGATGCTGAGTGTGGGCTCAGGGGACAGAGTGCCATGACGCATCACGTCTGCCCTGGTGCTGGAGTAGGGGAAATAGTGGCACGCTATGTTTGCAGTCCCTAACGATCAGAGCTGTGCGGTTTTTATTCCGTCCCCTTCAGTGCCCTGGGCTGAGCCTCCCTGCGTTCTTTTCTTCGGGCCTGAAGGGCCCTGTATTTCATTTCTCCATCTGTCAACCGCCACTGTAAATGCCACCTCTTTCCTGGAAACTTTCCTTAACGCCCTGGTTTTTTACTTTATCTTGAGATAAAGGGGGGGGCGCATTCAATGGCTTTTCAAAGTGAGGAAGTTTCATGATCGATTTGCTCTTTAGAAAGGTCCTGCTGGCCACAGAGGAGGACGTGGCGGGGGGGGGTGGGGAGGCTAAGCTGGGAGACTGTGGCGGCATGCTGGTAGGGGCTGGAGGTCACTTGGGCTGGAGGTGAGCCTGTGGCACTGTGACCGGCATGCGGGGCTTGGTGGGGGTGGGGTGGGTTGGCCCTCCGTGTGGCGGAGTGAGGAGGGGTCAGGGAGATGTTCAGGGTTCTAGCGTGGGTAGTTGGGGCAGGGTGAGGCCCCTCCTCACTTACAGCTTCTGTTCTAGAATTCTTCAGTGAACTACGGAAGCTTATTTGCAGTAGAGAGACATGCACGTAGATAAATTAATTCAGCTCAGCGGGGTGGGTGGTCTACGAGGAATATCCGTGGCTGACGTGGTTCTGCTTGCCTGTGACCGTGTCCTTTCCAATTTGTTGTTACCTACTTGTTCCGTTGTAAAATATTTGTAGCATCGGCTCGGTAGCATTAAAGCTACACAACAAAGTGAGGGCTCATTTCTGCTTGGAGAAGTCGGGGAGCAGTTCATAGAGTAACAGATGTTGTATGCGAAAGGGTACGTAGGGTTTTATTTGGAGACTCACAGGTAAAAATAAGAAGCTACGCAAAGGCTAGTGGCATGAAACAGAGGTCATGTCAGGGATCTGGCATGAGATGCTTCTCTTTGGTAAAGCTTGTGAAAGAGGGTCGTGGGCCCTGCTCTGCTCCTCTGGTCCCAGGCAGATCTGGGCATCCCTCTTTCTCTGCACCTGGCAGTCAGATCATTAGCATACCCTCATGGCTTCCCGGCCTGAAGCGGGGAGCCCCAGCGTTCAACTCGAAATGTTAGGACCTGCACAGGTATCTGGTCATGAATGTTCAGTAAATGCTTATTGAAGATTCAGGAGGAACCCGTGGAGGCCCTGATCTTTTTCTCTCCTTTTCCCCTAAGACAACTTTACTTCCAGATGGCTTCTTATCTCCCAGCCATTGACCACACTGGCTCAGACCGATGAGATTCGTCAGATCCTGGCTCCCTTGAAAATCTGCCCTGGGGCCCATTGGTGGATGAATTCAGCACCCCCGCCCCTATGACCTTGGCCTTCCCTGTTTGCTTTCCAGCCTAAGACTTGGCCCTTTCTGGTCAGGGCCTTGGCAGTTGGTGACTGTGCTCAGTGGAGTGGGATCTAAATCTTGGGGCTTGGTTCTAAACCTCCAGGAACTCTTGGCAAATAGTCCAGTGACCTCGGTGTCCCCCGTGGGGGTTAGAAGACCTGAGTTCAAGCTTCAGTTTGGCCTTTCCTCCCCATGTGACCTCTGGTGGGTTAGTGGGCTGAAGGGAAATGGTCTTCCAGTGTTCCTGCTGACTGGCCCAGGTTCAAATATTCAGTGGTTGTAGGGTCCCGGAGTCCAAGGCCTGGAAGGAGCCCACAGTTCCTGCTGTTGGAGGCAGTGGGAGCCCAGTGCTTACTCCTGACTTGGAAGCTTTGTTTTTAGCCACTGCTGATGGCCTGGAAGAATGTTTGGGTTTTACCGAGTTTTTCGGCAGAGAAGAAAGTCAGTGAGCACCTGCCATGTGCGGAGCACCTGCTACAGGCATTCCCCATATTTTTCCATTTAGTTCTCTTAGAGTGCCTGGGGTGGGGTGGGCTATCAGTCCCTTGTGCAGATGAGGAAACTGAGGCCCAGGGAAGTCAGGGCACCCACCGGAAGTCTCACGTACATGACCCACGTCGAACAAGAGCCCGTTCAGTGTGTGGGGGGGTGTGTGGCTCCTTGCCACCTCTGCCCGTCTGACCTCCCCGTCCCCTCTCTCCTGCAGAGAGCCAGCTGCTCCCTGGGAACAACTTCACCAACGAGTGCAACATTCCGGGCAACTTCATGTGTGGCAATGGGCGGTGCATCCCTGGCGCCTGGCAGTGTGATGGGCTGCCCGACTGCTTCGACAAGAGTGATGAGAAGGAGTGCCGTGAGTGGCCAGGCCTTTTGCCGGCGTGGGGGTGGGGAAAGTCCTGGGGCCGCGGGGACGAGGGTCTGATCTGGCTCAGACCCTGCCCACTCCGCATGCCGCAGGCTGGTGGGTTTGGGGCTCTGGCCAGCAGCCCAGCCCTCTCCACTACGTAGCTCTGCCAGGGACAACAGAGGACCCCTTCACCAGGCTCTACTAACCCCCACCCTGGGGCGCTGTCTTTTTTGCTTTTGCTTTACATATGAGGACTCTGAGACTCCCAGGGGTGATGTAGCTTCAGCATCTCCCAACTAGCAAGGAGCAGACCTGGATTTGAACTCAGGGCTGCCTGACCCCAAGGCCTGGGCTGGTAACCATCTTTCACGTCTTGTACGCTGTGAAATGTTCTTCCTGATTAAATAAGGCGTAGCATCATGCCAAATAGCCCACATGGAGCTGGTGGCGAGTAGATAGTAATTTGCTGCCACCTGCCCTTTCCTCTGCTAATATGGCCTGGGCATCCCCTTCAAATGGGCACCACCAGGAGCTGGGGGTTCTTTCTTATCCTCCCCACCTGCCTCCTTCTTCAGCCTCTTTTCTATTCTGTGCCCTCGAAATATGCATGAGATTTGAGTCTGTGGTGATGTACAAGAAAGGAGGGACCGAATGGGAGTGAGGGCGTCTGGGGTGTCGGATGATCACGCTCCCTGCCCTGTAGAGTGTAGTTCTCTTCTGCCCCACACTTGGGCGCTGCAGAGTGAGCTCGGCTCCAGCACCCTGGCAGGCGGGAGTGACACCTGAGGAGTGCTGGGCCTAGGGTTCCCTTGTGGGTCACTGCCTTGGGACCACACAGCTGGACACTGGTTCTTGCTTGGCTCGTCTGTGGGCTTCAGGCACCAGGCCACAGGGCCTCACTGACAGGAGAACTGTGCGTTCTGGCTCCGAATCTGCTCTCTTTCTGGAAGCCAGCTGAGGAAATGGCTGAGGAGATGATAATTTGAACTTTCACGTAGCTGTTACTGGGATTCGAGGCCCAGTCTGTTGACGCACGGGAAGGAAAACTGGGTTGGAGCCCACCTCTGGAGCCACCCCGCCCACCCTCATGATGCGCTCCCTTGGGCAGGCTGCCCACTCAGAGACTGGCCCTTCGTCTGTCGTGGGGTCCCGTACCCCTGCTTGCCTGCCCCTCACTCTTCAGAGAAGGTTTGGGAGGGGGTGGATTAGGAATATTTTTTTGTGTGGGGGGAATATTCATTTTGTTTATTGCATGTGACTTTTTTCCAGACAGACCAGTATACATAATGCATTTTTATTTTTGCAGAATTTTAAAAAAAGTATTAATGTCTATTTCAGCTTTCTCTATGTCCAGGTCTTCAAAATTCCTAGAAACGTCACGTTTGTAATTTGAGTTACACATGAGATCGTGTATGTGAACTCTGTAATTTGTCCAGTTTTGAGCATTATTAAACACTCCACGAAGATGTGCAGTGAGCATTTTTGGAATACAGTGTGTCTGTGAACTCTCGTAAATACTGATTTTCTTTAGCCAAGCCGGGAATATTCAGGACAGGGTCAGTTTATGAAAGCATACCAGGGTTTGGACCTGAGACTTAAGTTTTATTCCCAGCTCTGTCAATAGCAGCTTTGTGATGTTAGGATACTCTGTGACATTCTGTGTCTTGTGTCAGTCCAGTTCCGTGATTTCAGAATTCATGCATAAACTGGAAAAGGTGATGGAAAGAGAATATTAAAAAAAAAAAAAAAAAAAAAGATGGGGCAGGCAGCAGCCTGGCGCTGTTGGGTTTGGTTTGCAACAGGCTTGTCTTGGCTGTTCTCGGTCTTTTTTTTTTTCCTCCTAACTTCCTACCCTTAACCCCCAGGCATAATAAAGACTTGATTGGCATTTATTTAGTGTTTTGATCAAAACATAATTTTAAAAACCGTGCACACAAACACACACATTAAAGAACCTCTCCTCTGTTGCCTTTCTTTTTTTCTTTTTGTCTTTAAATTGTAAGAGCAGAACATTAAAAGGTTTAGATGAGAGAGGGAAGGAAAAGAGGTCCTTTTTTTTTTTTTTTTAAGATTTTATTTATTTATTTGAGAGAGAGAGAATGAGAGATAGAGAGCATGAGAGGGAAGAGGGTCAGAGGGAGAAGCAGACTCCCCGCTGAGCAGGGAGCCCGATGCGGGACTCGATCCCGGGACTCCAAGATCATGACCCGAGCCGAAGGCAGTCGCTTAACCAACTGAGCCACCCAGGCGCCCAAGAGGTCCTTTTCTAAAACAAATTCTACTTGTGTTTTGAATTTCTTCCATATTTCTTCCCAGTCCAGGGGTTGAGGATGTGAACACTGGGGACAGACTGTCCATATCCCCACATTCCCTGCCACCCCTCTGCCCAGATCACACGTTACGTGATCTTAGGGAAGTTACCAGGACGTTCTAGACCTTCGCCCCGGGGAGGATTGAATGAGAATACCTTAGCCTCCTGGTGCCTCAGTGTCTTCCTAGCCAAAGTGAGACGAGCCGGGCTTCTGGTAAGCATTGTTGTGAAGGTTAACTGCACACTGAGCACCCAGCACAGCGCCTGGGTATCGTAAGCGGTGTGTAAACGTTAGCTGTCATGGGTCAGTCCATACGTATTGTTTTATACAGGTGTTGTCACGGCGACGTGTGATGGAGTTACCTGCTTTTTTCCACTTCACATTAGAGGCCCTTTGCCAGATGACCATATTCAGCCTTCACGATTGTTGTTTTGTGAGGTTGCCTCCTGTCCCATCACGTTGGTGCGGTGTACCTAACCATTGCCCTGTGGTGGCTGTTTAAACGTTTGGGGTCACCGAAGGAACTTACCCACCCCTGGAGGGCAGTATACCCGGTGGCTTCAGCCCGAGCCAGGCTGGGCTCCGCTGAGGTTTTCAGGGTCCCAACTGTACCATCCTTCCGAGGGCCCTTTGAGAGCGGCTGCTGTGGAATTCAAATGCCACCTCTTTGTCCTTTCTTTGATTCTTTGGAACAGTGTGGTACTTATGGGGAGGAGAGTGAAGGTGGCTGATTTCCTCGCCACAGAGAGGTGATTGCCTCAGGTATCCTGTGAAATAACTTTGGCATTTTGAAGATGGTACACTTAAAAAAGGAGAATTCTTGCCCTTTCCAAAGGGTGAGGGAAGAGCCTGAAGAGCTCTGTCGTGGTGGGACATGAGGCGGTGAGAAGGATTTTCATAAGACAGGAAGAAACTTTTCTTTTATCATGAACATAATAAAAACCACAAACTGTAAAAGTTGGGGGAACGGGGAGGAGAAAAACAACATCGCACCTAAAGTCTGACCTCTAACAGAACCACCGTTAGCATCTTGGAAGTTTTTATTCAGGGCTTTTCCCAGCTGTATGCAGTGTTATATTTTGATCTTTTTTCCCCGGTAACATTTTGACCTTTTAACATTTTAATGTATTTTTTCATATTTCTCCATCAGTTTTAATGGTTGCAAGAACTGTCCATTCACACAGTATCATATAGTTATTGACTCATGATTTGGCATTTAGGTTGTTTCCAGCTTTCCATTGTTAGAAATGGTGTTCAGTGTTGTGAACGTGAGGGTAGACATGACTTTCCCCGTTTTGAGAGATTTTCTTAGGGTAGGTTCTCGGAAGTGAAAGTACTGGGTCAAAGGACAGGAGCCTTTTTTGGTTCTTGAAACCAGTGCCCGCTTGTTTTGCTAAAGGTTTGTATCAGCATGTGCTCCTTCACTGGCAACGTGTCAGAATTCTGGTTTTATTTTAGTCTTGGCAGCATGGGGTAATATCTCTAAAAAATGTTTTTTCTGGCCAATTTAGTAGAAAAGTTTAATATATTTTCATTTTTATTTTTTTAATTATCTAAAGAAATTGAATGTTTTCCCAGAGCCTATTTACTAGTCATGTTTCTGACTTTGTGAAATATCTATTAATGGACTAGAATAAAATTTCCACCCGGGTTGAGTCATTAAATTTTCCACCTTGTGAATCTGGAGAACCTCCGCCTTAGAGTTTTGAGAGAAGAGGCTCATTTTGGGATAGTTTGAGTGAATTTCTGCTTTTGGTTGATAAAATGTCCTCAGTGATCATTTTATTCAAATAACTTTTTTTTTTTTTTTTGGTAGTAAAAGGAATAAAGATGTTTTAGAAAAACGTGGAAGACCCATGAAAGCAGAGATACTTTGAGAGTTTCCCCTGGGTTGCCCTGTCCCAGGCACGTTGCGCTATATTAACTCATTTGATTGTCACAAGCTCTATGAAGAAAGGACTGTTGTTATTTCCATATGAGGGACCTGAGCCACAGAGAGATTACTAGAACTGGCCTGTTGTCCCAGAGAATAAGTGCCCATCACCTTCCTCCACCAGAGACCACAGGCTTTCTCTATCTGGGTCTCTGTCATCGTGCCGAATCGGATTCCTCTGTATGTTATCACTACTAACCTGCTTTTGGAAAAAACTGAGAAACGTTGATGATGTTCTTCTCTGCAAATGATTTCTGAAATGGCCATTAGTGCTGTGAGTCTTTGCAAGAAGAGACTGTAGTGTAATTACTGCCACACGCTGTAATAATAAAGCAGCAGTCCAAATTTCCGGAACTCACACGTGACCTGCAGTCACGAGCCTTAAGATCTGCTTCCAGCTTGGTGTTGGATTTTAGCTGCCATCTCTCTGTGTCCTGACCACATGGGGGAGAGGTCTTGGAGGTTTGAGTTCTGTGTCAGGAAGTGCTCTTCTTTGAAAAAGGAAATTGATCGATGTCTTTGATCAAGCGTGTACAGACTTTCACATCTCAGGCTGAGTGTGTGTGCGTGCGCATGCACGGTGCACGTGTAGGTGGGGGTAGAGAGGAGGTGGGGATGAATTCAAGGATCTTGTCAAATGATAAGATTTTAATGGATTGCCAAGTCCAGAGACAGAAAAGTACAAAAATGGAACTTGAATTTTACTTGCTTTTACTGTTTCCAGCCATTTATTGAGCACGACTTTTCATTGCCCCTGGTGT